GATATATAGATATATAGATATATAGATATATAGATATATAGATATATAGATATAGATAGTTTTGGCTATATATATATAAAATATTATAAGCCCCCAGGGAAAAACGCTGTCCATTCCCCCCCCACCCACTCTTCTTCAGCCTCAAAGGCACATCTGATATATTAACCAGCTTCATTTGTTGTTTTGCCTGTGATCTTGTAACTGGCCCGGCTCGTTATTCCCTGGGGATGAGCAGCCCAAACTGTGTTTGATAGAGGAGGAAGGAATAGGAGCATCGATTAACATGCCTGATATAAAAACAACAAAGTTAATTACAGGTGGGAGGTGCACACAATGGCCAAATTGATTAACAGTGTCTAAAGGCAGATATCCCTTTAATGGTTTTTACACTGCTGATTTTAGCAGTAGCTAAGGAAGCTAAGTGAGCAATATATTTTAAAGTTCCGGAGATCGCAATGTCTGTTTCTTCAACTACACCTGGAACTCATATTTTTGGGATGTAGAGCATGTCTCAGCCTGGATCCAGACTCAAGCGCCCTCAGATTTTCAGTTAGGGCTGGGCTTGGGTTTGCAAGTGGGTAGAAGTATTTTCTATCCTTACCCTGGGGCTTATCTGACAGCAATCCAAGCTTCAGTGTATCACTGAAGCCATGGTCCTATCTTCCTGGATACCACTGCACTGGACTCACTTTGGTGTGGTTTGTTTGGCTCCTTCTCAGCCTTCTTGTTGGTGCTATTCTTTTCTGACTGTAATAATCCAAATTGGACTTGTTGCTTGTTGCCCTTTCCACTTGCTCCTTTAGTTTGAATGTTGTTGCTGTGTCCACCTATGCTCTGGTTTGGGTGGTTACCTCTGATTTCTACTGCTGTCTACCACCACCGTTAAATTTCTTCTCTTTGCTGGCACCGCTCTGCCCAACATTTTCAGGACTTCAACCTTGACTTTCAGCTTCTTTTCCTTTCTTTTCCATGTTCCTTATTCCTGTTCCTTTCCTCTAGATCTCTTCTTACGCCCTTCCATTGTTTCAATGACCCTCTTGTTCTGGCAGAATGGGAGTCTTAATAGATAAAGGCAGAAGGAATAGCACAGGGACCTTTTTGCTGCAATGCATCCAACTTTCTCCAGTTTGAACCAGCTGAGGTTAGGAACTTTGAAGAGGAAGATGGCTTGGGTGCAGGCATAGTAGCCTGGATCTCTACCCGTCTTTATTTTTACCTTTTTTGTCCCATTTCCCTGCCTGCTCCCGACATTCCCCCTAGGGAATTTATCAACAGATCAGATTCTTTCTGTACTCTTCTGGCTGGAAGGCTGCTATCTGCCATGGTGGAGAAGATACAAGATCTTGCCAACAAGAACTGCAATTCTGCTGCTCAGATTCTTCAGTTTGTTGTCAACATTGAGGTATGGGAGGCTGTAATGTGAATGTGATATGTCACCGAAAGGATCCTCTTCGGCCCTACCACAATGTACATATTTATTTGTATGTCATCCATTGTAATGCTGAATCCTGTGGTTTAAACTTCCACTTTATTTTCTAGATAGCAGAAGAAACAGAGTTCCTTCTACTGTATTCTCCTTTTTAAAATGGTAGAAAAGAAGGGCTGGGCTTTAGCTTAGCTAAACATTTCAGGCAGCATTCCCTAGATCAGGGGTCGGCAACCTTAAACAGTCAAAGAGCTACAAAGATCCTAAACGGAAGCCCCCGTTCAATTCTGGAGCTGACTGGAAGTCTGGCTCCCCCACCATAGAGTTTCCTCCTAATGTGGCGTCCTTTTTACTCTACCTGTCCTAACCGAAAGCTCCATCAATTGTGGAGCCGACCAGTGACAGGGAGCTGCAGCAGAGGGATAAAAGAGCCACATGCGGCTCCAGAGCCGCAGGTTGCTGACACCTGCTCTAGATTAAGAAAAGGGATGTCTTCTTGTCTGGGATGAGGGAAATGATTACAAAAGTTGTCAATTTACTAGCTCGTAACTGAATTAAGTTGCTTCATCACAGAAAAAGGCAAGTATAGGCATGTTTTAATCTGAAGTTCTGGCATAGAATCATAGCCAAGCATAACATGCAAGCTGCTTCTTGAAAATTGAACCTCACAGATCTCAATCAACCAGAGACCAATTACAGAGATTGGTCTATAATTGGATCCATCAGACTTATGCTTTTAGTTTTGCATCCAAGCAAAATCTCCTCCCGTCCCAACGTACACCTCAAAACCCAGAAAAAAAGAAAGTAAATAAGATCATATCCCTGAGATTTATTATTTTGAATTAACATTTTTTTATGCAGCCATGCCAGTTGCTATGACTCCACAGAATTGCCATGCAACACACTATGTTTTTATTCATTCCTGCTTCTGCATTGCTATTTGCTTTTGCAGTCAGGAGCTTCCTGTTTATACAGAATCTTGATATTGCAACAGAAGGAAGTCAGGACCACAAGCAAACATTATCCGACAATGCTCTCTGATTGCTTGGAGGCTCCTTGAGCTTCAAGAATGGAATCTAACTTAACTTCTAGTGAAGTTCAATGACTACCTAGGCTCAGTCTTCTTTCAACAATCTTAGAGAAGGGCATTTTAAGAAAGGGAACCCCCTAGGTCCTAATGCCCAAGTAAATTTCAGAACTTCAAGGCCGCAATGCAAGAAACATGCATATGTAAACCTGGTATGCACAGTATATGAAGTAGTGTCCTGAATTGACAGAATGGGTTGAACCAGAAATGCCTGGAGGGCTCCAGTTCTGAATGTTTTACAACAATTCAAAATATGGAACCTTACCCAGGAGTAATAATTCATGGTGCCGCTGTTCTTTTTTTGTAAACAAACCAGAGGTGGTATTCAGCAGGTTCTGACCAGTTCTGCAGAATCAGTAACAGAAATTATGAGTAGTTCTCTGGCCCCGCCCCCATCTATTCTCTGCCACCCGAGTCCCAGCGGATCAAGAGGAAATGAGGATTTTGCAATAATCTTCCCCTAGAGTGGGGTGGGAATGGAGATTTTACTGTATTCTTCTCCTGCCATGCTTGCCATGCCAAGCCACACCCACCAAGCCATGCCAAGCCACACCCACCAAGCCACGCCCAGAAAACTGGTAGTAAAAATTTTTGAATTCTACCACTGAAACAAACATCAAATCTGTATTAACCTAAAGATCTTTGCACAATTTGTGATTTAGAATCACTTGGGAAGTATAGGTAGGTGCTTTGCTTCCCAGAACCTGAAAGGAATAAATGTTTAACTTGTATGTTTCAACTTGTTCTTAACTCTTTTTAATCCACGCTTTAATTTAAGTATTTATGTGGCTTTATTATATTGCTATAAATTGCCCAGAATCACTTTGCTGAGATGGGTGGTGTAGAAAATTACTAAATAAATAAATAAAATTAGCCAGTACAGCAATTCTAGGTGAATTTGTTATGGAAAGAATAGTGGATTATCCCAGAAGTAAGTAAACAGAAGGATGACAAGTATTAACAGTTGCCATCTGCCTAACAATTACAGAGCAGATATCGGAAAGATCCACTGCAGCTGGCAAATGTTATAAAAAGGATCTTGGAAGCAGAGCAAACAGCAGTTCAACAGCAGGTAAGAGATTTTCCACATTTGTTTCTGAGACCTAAATCATTTCTCAGATTCTCAAATCCCATCTGTTAGACAATGGTTAAAAATGGAGGCAGGGACCCGACTCATATTACCACATGTGGTGGACTTGCACTGAAGCCAAAAGATACTGGACTAAAATTCACATGTGGTTGGAGAAAATGATGCACAAACACATAGACCTTAAACCAGAGATTTTTTTTATTGGGAATCATACCAGAAACTTACAATAAAGACTTGAAATATCTGATTGTAAACGTTTTAACAGCAGCTAGAATTGTATTTGCAAAAAAACTGGAAAAAATGAAACAATACCAAAACAGGA